TCTCTCTCTCTCTCTCTCTCTCTCTCTCTCTCTCTCTCTCTCCCCATGCTTTTCCAAGTTTTCACGGAAACACATCTTGTGTTCGTTGGTTAACGCCAAATGAACCAAATTTATGATGGATAAAGGGACGAAAGCCCGAAGCTAAGAACAACCTTCTTACCAAGTCACACACTCTTTTCTTTCTCTCAATACCACTTATGTTTCTCTCTTGCTTCTTTATACTCCCTGATTTTTGGGGCCATAGAGGTTTGATTGGTCTAGATGTTTTACGCATTTGGTTTGGTTGTTATTGTGGCCTCGAGAGAAACAGATTTTGGATTTTCTTAGAGAACTCAATGGAGAGAGCATGCTTGGGTTTTCTCTTTCAATACTGCTCGTCTAAGCAGGATCGACCCGTAGAGGCAATTGGTGAATTTGGGCCAGGGATGAAACCCCCAACGCATAGGGCTTTCGAAGTCTTTTTTTTAAAAAAGAAGTGAGTATCACAAAGGAGCTTGTTGATGTTAAGAAGGATGCATGGGCTCAGTATGGAGCCTCTCTCATGATCGATACTTGGAGTGATAGGAGGAGAAGAAGCCAAATGAATTTGCTTGTGAATTGTCCTTTAGGGACTGTTTTTTAGGTCTATTGATGGCTCTGATTATAGCCATGATGCCCATTACATATTCAGAATTATGGAGAAGGGAGTCAAGGAGGTTGGGGAACATCATGCTATACAGGTTATCACAGACAATGCTGCTCCTAATGTTGTTGCTGCTAATTTGTTGGGCATAGCTTACTCTAGAATCGTTTGGACACCATGCACAGCACATTGTATAGACCTCATGCTTGAAGCTCTTGGTGGTCTGAGCGAAATTTCAAGTGAAGTGAAGGCAAAGTCAGTTACGAATTTCATTTATAGCCACACTCTCACCCTCAGCATGATACATAGATTTACAAAGAAGAAAGGGATTGTGAGGCCTGGGGTCACGAGATTTGCGACCTGGTACTTAGACATACATTCAATGAGAGTCCAGTTGAGGCATATGTTCACCTCAGATGAGTTGGAGAGCATGGAGGTGGTCCAATGATCAGGTGCTCTTAAGGTATTTTTTCCTCTTGTCAAAGTCCTTCCAATCGTTGATAGTGACAAAGCTTCTATGGGCTACATATATGAGGCTATGGAGAGATACAATAGAGAGATAGCCCAAAATTTAGATGATGATGTGAGCCACAATGAGCCTATTTGGGAGATTATTGATGAGAAGTGGAATACGCAACAACATCGATCATTGCATGAAGCTGGTTATTTTTTGAACCCAGCTTTTTTTATGTTAATAGGGATATACACAAATGATACAATTATGACTATATTTAATAAGTTATGTAGATGTACTAGTCCCTAATCCGAATATCCAAGATGTTATATGTGCTGATGAGTTGATAAGTGACAAGTGCGCATTAAAGTCATTTGGAAGTCCAATGGAGATGAGGCAAAAGACCACAATTGATTCAGGTAACAATATTCTTAAGTTCCTCAAGTTCAAATTTCATTTCATAACATTCGTAGTTTGTTTTCCATAATCTATAATTTTATAATTCTATTATTCTATGTCTTTTGAACTCTACCTACAAAATTCTTGCCAAAGTCCTAGCCTCTAGGCTTCAACAAGTCCTCCCCTCCATCATTTCTCCTTCCCAAACTGCAGTCATCAAAGATAGACAGATTCTTGACGGGGCTTTAGTGGCCATGAATGCATCCATACAAGACATCTAGACAAAAAGCCTGGCCTCATTTTCAAAATTGACTGGGAAAACGCTTATGACCATGTCGACTGGTCAATCCTAGAGAAGACTATGACCAGAATGGGTTTCCGAAACCGTTGGAGGATGTGGATGAGAGGGTGCTACTCACACCCTCATTTCTCAATCCAAATAAATGGAATCCCGAAAGGATTCTTCTCATCCTCTAGGAATCTCCGTCAGTGTGACCCTCTCTCTCCCTTCCTGTTCGCAATAGCTGCGGAAGCTTTTAGTCGTTCTACTTCCCGGGTGTTCCAGGCATGACTGCTCTCCGGCTTCAGGAGCAGTAGAAACGGCCCAACAGTGTCCCATCTGCAGTATGCGGATGACAATTTGGTGTTCTTGGACGCTACTTCAAATGAAGTGGATTCATTTAATCTTTTCCTCAAATGCTTCCAAAGCAACAGGCTTCAAAGTCAACATGGAAAAATAAAAAATGATGGGAGTAGCAATTTCAAATGTAGAGATTAGAGCGCTTATTCCAAACTGGGAATGTAAAGTGGAGTATCTCCCTACTACCTACTTAGGTCTTCCCCTTGGACTTAGCAAACCCAAAAAAAGACAATGGTCCCAAGTCCTAGATAGGGTTGACAGACGCTTGGCAGGTTGGAAAGGTAGACTCCTCTCTATGGCAGGGAGGTCGACCCTGATTAAAGCTACCTTATCTAACTCCCCAGTTTACCTCATGTCCCTCTTTCATATGCCTGCTCAAGTGGTAAACCGTTTAGACCACCTCATGAGAAATTTCATATGGTCGGGACAAGCTGAGAAGACAAAATTCCACCTTGTTGCTTGGGATAACATTTGTCTTCCAAAAAATCAGGGAGGTCTAGGAATCAGGATACTCAGAAAACATAACCTCGCCCTATTAGGCAAGTGGTGGCGTCGTCTAGCAACCCAGTCGGACTCTCTTTGAGCTCAAGTCCTAAGAAACAAATACAGGATACCTAATGGAGTTTGGGTGCCAGATAGAAGCCAGAGACATAATGCCTCAAGAGCATGGAAATCTTTCTCTTCGGTCTTGTCTCACTTCAAAAAATACGTTAGACTTCACCCCATAGAAGGTTCCCGAGTGAGATTCTGGTCAGACTTATGGATAGGCTCTTCACCTCTATGGGATGTTTTCCCTGCCCTGTACTCGCTGACCACTAACAAGGATTCAACAGTGGCCGAGGAATTGGTCCTAACAGGAGAGCGAAGAGTCTGGAACCCATCCTTTCGGAGGAACCTAACAAAAGAGGAGATCAACCAAGTTCAATTGCTCATTACAGGTCTTCACTCTCTCTTTATTCCTAACCAAGGGAGAGACACTATGGTCTGGACACCCACTCCATCAGGTACGTTCTCGATTGTCCTTTCTAAACCTCCCACCTTTCCGCATAATCCCATCTCGGTGGCAGCGAAAGTATGATCTTCCATCGCCCCACCTAAGGTCCAAACATTCAACTGGCTTGCTTTCTCTCACAGAGCCCTCACTACGGACCAACTCCAAAAGAGAGGGATTCCTATCCCTAATGGATGCGCATCATGCCAACATGAGGAAGAGTCTAATCCCCACTTATTTATACACTGTGACTTCTCCTCTGAATTTTGGGGAAACATTTTGCAACTCTTCGGCATAGAATGTCACTCCCCCTATAGTCAAAGCACTCATCGCTTATGATCTACATTCTCAATGACCGAAGGCTGGTAGAGTCCTTTGGAAGGCTACCTTAGAGGCAACTTTATGGACCATTTGGATGGAAAGAAACAACAGAATTTTCCAAGGTTCAAAACTACAAGTTTCAACACTCTTGCACAAGACCATTTCCATTGTTTCTTTCTGGGCCTCAAATCACAAAGTCTACTCGGGTATACCCAGAAACTTGTTCTTTCCCCCATGGAAAATATACTACATCACTGTCCACAACAGGCAAAAAGGTCTAGTTCTTGGCAACCACCACCACAAGGAACCATTAAATTTAATTTTGATGGATGCTCCTTTGGGAATCCTGGCCCGACCGGAGCTGGGGGGGGTATTTAGGGACCACCAAGGCAATGTACTGCTTACATTCTTAGAGCATCTTGGTATCAATGATGCACATAATGCGGATAAAAAAGTTTAACCGCTCTTGGGGCTTTCACCTCATCATAGAAGGAGATTCAAAAAATGTTCTCTCATGGGCCAGTAGGACCGCTTCTCTGCCATGGTACCTAAACACTATCTTTGATGAGATTGACCATATTTGCAGGGAAATGGACATCCAACGGCTTCACAGATCGCTTGACAAAAGAGGGAGCTAGTTTACAAGCACAAGATCAAGCCGGGGTCGACTCCTTTTTTGCATAGGACCTTTGGCATAGCCCTTCAACATAGCATTTTAATTGGCAATTTAGGCCTCCTGTATTTTTTGCAATTTTTGAAAGTCTCATGTAAATCTTCTAAATCGGGCGGAGCCTATAAGCCCCTTTTGTATATGATACGCTCACAGTTTTTTACCGATTCACCCCTAGCAAGTGAACTCGGACTTACAAATTCTTGTACACAAAACCCCAGTAATACAATGTTAAATTTCTCTCAACAAAAAGTATTCCATGTCTTAACTCTTAATATTTTATATATAATTAACAATTGTAAATTTGTAATTCAAAATCAATTTGCATTTTTGCAGCCAATTGGTGAAGCCAACATGCGTGTAGTGCTCCAAATTTACAAAGATTGGTCATTGGGATCTTAAGCCTAACCACTACCTCGTCCGGCTGTGAGCAAAATTTGAGTACTTTTGAGATGGTAATTTGCATTACAATACGAGTAATTCAGTACTTTAGTATTCTATGTCATGCATTACTATTATGTATTTAATTATTTATATTAATTAATTTCATTTGATTTTGTTAGATTCATACAAAGAAAAGGAACATGCTTGAATCCAGGAGGCTCAATGATCTAGTTTATGTCAAGTATAATCGATACTTGAAACGGACAAGTTTGCCGAGAGAGATGCCAGAGACTCCCTCATATCGAAAAATATGGACAATTCTACGAAGAGGTTGGTTGATGATGATCAGGTCAAGGGACATGAAGGATTGATATGGGATATGGTCATGGAGGCCTCAGGTACATCAGCCGACCCTAATAGGACCACTAGATCTTCTTCCCAGAGGACAAGGGTGGAGGAAAAGGAAGAAGCAAAGACAGATTCAGAAGAGATAGAGGAGGACAACCATTATGTCGAGAAGGGACATCATTCCGATGATGATGACTTGGATTCCGATGCATATGATGCAAATGCAGCTGACCCTACTTCTTCTCATGATGAGTGGTGAATGATGATTGAAGATTCTTTCGAGTCTTCAAGTCTATATACTATAATTCTTTCATTTTTACTTTCCTCATCTTGGTTGTGTATTGTGGATTTGTGGTTCACTGGTTTGGTTTGGTAACTTTGGTTTGTAAACTTGAAGTCTTAACCATGTATGGAGTGTGGAATATGGATAATCGGATAGGAATATGTAACATACTGGACATTTTTCTTTCTAGAGGGTCACCCAGGTTCTGAGCGACTGCCTAGGAGCTGGGTGACCTGGAGCCCCCTGGCCGCTTAGGAGCCACCTAGCTTTTTTTGAAACACTGGATGCAAATTGATACAAATTGATATCAAATCGATACAAATTGATATCAAATTGATTTAAATTACAATCAAAATGATACAAATTTAAACAAATTAATATCAAATTGACTTTGAATAAATAATCGTAGCCTAGTCACTAAAACAAATCTCAAAAAGTATTTCATATTAGCATCCCAAAAAAACTCACAATCCTAAGCATAAAACACAAGAAAAAATGCAAGCAAAACAGACAGTACATTAGGGAGAGTATAGCTTGAGAATTAGCCACCTTAAAGACAGAGGTGAAGAACTCCCTTCCCTAACTCTTATGATCTTCTTTATTCTCTTTTAAGATTTCGTTATTCTATTTTCATAAAAGAATTTTATATACTAAAGAATGTCTGAATCAGATTAGGTGTCAATGAATTTTAAAATAAAGACATTTAGTTATCTACTTTAGACTATTAAAAAATTTGTCAATGCCAGCACTTTCCTCTCAAAGCATATATGAGACCCTACGTCTATTCTTGGTATTTGAGAGTTGCTCCCTCTTAGTAAAAACTATATGGCATCATTAAAAACTTTTCATAAGCGAGTTACTCTCATATATCTCTTTAATCGGTCAATCTCTACAGATTTTTCTATATCCACATATCTTCCTATCAATTTTTCTAGAATTCTATATATATTTTTCCGAATTAAGTTTATATTTTACACATCTTTATAATATAATATTATACAGTTGAGTGATGAGATACTATTTTCATGTTAACAAAAATATTGTCAAATATGCACTGATTGAGAGTATTTACAACATACCTATTTTCCAATACCGCCAATGCTTTAGTGTAAACCCTACAAATCAAGTATATAATTAATACAAGTAAATATAATTTGAACTATAAATACTACAATCTTATATTAAGGTTCCATTTCATAATATAAAAAAACATATATTAGTCTTAGAGGAATGATAAAGTAGATTCAAATGTACCTAACAAGGAACAAGGTCTGGCACCAAGTTGGGTCAACTCCGGCCCTTGCCCAGCGTTATTCCCCTGAGAGCTGGCCCTGGCTCTATCCAAGCCGAGCCACATAATATAAAATTAAAGGCTAACAAAGTAAAAAAAACTAATAATAATAAATAAATATGAAAAAAGTATGTGTTGGGCTGGGCTAGGCCACCCAGGCCATTGCCACCCTTAGTAGAGACCAGCCTAACACCATTGATAAGATGGATGGACAACATTGGAGAGTGAGGGAAACCTACCTCTGGATCCTTTCATGTCTTGAAAGGCCACACATCTCTCCAACACCATCCATCCATCATACCAGTCTTTTATCAACTATTATGCTGCCAACCACAATATGGTCCAACTGCAAGTAAACAAATAAAGGGAAAGATAATAAGTACCAAAAATAATAGCAGTGTAAACTAAAGCGAAGTTTAATAATAAGGTAAAGAGGTTGCACACTAAGAATACTCACTTTAGGTACAAGGAGGTCGCAATCATTTTTATTCATTGGATGTAAAACTCAATCTATTGAAGTGTATCACAATACTTGAGAAATTTTATTTTGGACTATGCGTTTAATAAACGACCTATCCTCAACAACCCAATTTCACATCCAACTTTTATAATAACTGACTTCCTTGTATCAAAAGCAAATTATCTTAAAGGAAATAAAACCAAAACAAAAAGCAATATTGAAACATTCAAACAAACACAAGCCAATTTTATGCATTAACAAAATATGTATTACATAAACACACACGATAGTCAAAGGGAACTGATCAGCACCTCCCACTGTATAAATTACACATCCATAAATCTCATATGAAGCGATTTATGAGTAACGTTACTAACAAATAGCAGTAAAAAAAACTATCGTGAATTTATTGATATTTATTGATAAATGTTAGTAAAAAATTAGCATAAGCACAAATAATATTAGTATTTTTTGACAATAGTGTTTCGATACTCAAAAGGGTCTACTCAAACTCAGTCAAGTAACTCAAGCACACTAGACACACGTTCTTAATGTTTATATATAATAATGCGCCAACTTGAAGACAGAACACTCGAGTAGTGTGCTGGGTAGTGTGCATTCTTGTTGCCCATTATGGTGAGGGTTCGAATCCCTATACTATCATTGCCTTGTTTTTTGTTTTTTTTCTTTAAGAGAAAACAGGTAAAAAAAAAAGGTTTGAGAAGTGAATTTGAACCCAAGACCTATTATAAAGAGTATTTAAGAGCACACGCTACCCAATCAACAAAAGTGGAAGGCTAATTATATATTTATTGTTATACGAATTTTTTTGTTTTTCAACATAACGAATAAAGAGTATTAAGAGCGCATGCACTATCCAACACATCAACAATTATTTTATCAATAAAAGTGGCAGGCTAGTTATATATCTATGTTATACTACTTTCTTTTTTTTTAGCATAAAGAAAACATGAGATGAAAATGAGGATTCAAACCTAAGACACATCACATATAAGCACCCCTAAGAGGGGCGAACCTATCCAGTATGGCATTCAAGGCTTCATGTCATAAATGCGAAGAATATATTATATATACATTAATTTATGTGTTGATTTTTTTAAAATCATAATAAATTTATTTGATAATGTGAGCTACTTCTAAAATTTACTGATAATATCATCAAATTTACTATTAAAGACCAGTGACAATATTACTAAGAATCAACTTTACTGATTTACTCACACATTAGTTAATAATATAATTCCAAACAAATATCAATTTTGCAAGGGAATATTTTATTGTTTTACTGTGTTGCTGTATTATTAAAAATATCATTTTTACTGATGCTTATTTATAAATAGCATTATTACTAATAAATAAGAGTAAATATCAATAGATTTCCATATTCATAATAAATATTTGCAAATTCATTAAAAATATGCTTTAATAAATATTAGATTGATCATGTTCTAATAAATACCAGTATTAATCAATTTCTCATACTCCTGAATATCAAAAAATTCATTTCTTTTTCCCTATAAGTATTAGTAGAATGCAGGGAAAACTAGACTACTGTATCAAAAAGCAACAAAACCTGTTGTATAACATTATCATCACAGTAATGTTCCGATACAGCAAAAAAATATAGTGAAAATATCAATTTTTTCTGATGAAAATTCCATAAGTACTATAGTTATTGATAAATATCACTATATATCATATTTACTGATAAATAGCACTATATATCATATGTACTGATAAATATCAGTAAATGTCAAGTCCACCTATCCACCAAATCGATAAACCTAACAAGAAGAAAATGAAAGGGGAAAAAGAGAGAAACAAAAAAGCCATACCTGGAAAAGTCTAGGACTCAGAAGAGAGAGGGCACATCGATGGGTTTAGGGCTTCAGACAGTAAATGAGAATAGCTTGTGACAAAAATGGGGGTTAGTGTTTGAAGAGAGAAAGAGAGAGAAAAACAAACGTTAGTAACAAAGGAGAGAGAAGCAGAAGCGTGGGCTTCCATACATATAGAGAGAAAGTGAGAAGACTCGTACCGCGTATTTAAATGATGCATATTTAAAAGCAAGTCATGTGTTATGCTCTCTCGAGAGCATCATGTGCATTTAGTCCGTTGGTTTGAAGATCTACTTGAGAAGCTTTTTCCAATCTAAAATTTTAGGAACTATCTAAGAATCAATAGATGATTATTATCAAAAGGGAGATTTTAAAATTTAATCTAACACTTGATCTCACCACCTAATAATTAGTCAACTTCTATCAGTGTTCGCAAAACCAGCCGATCTAACCGCTAACTGCCCGATTAGATAGGAACCGGTCAGTGGCCGTTCCGATTTTGGGCTGTTTTGGTAATCAACCAGTATTTTAAAAGTTAAATAGAATACTACTTTAAACTTATATCAATTTTTTTAGAATGGATTATTTGTTAGCGTTGAGGATTGCCTTTTAAGTGAATCAAGGTTCAAATCCCGCCGTAATTTACCTCCTTCATTTCGAAAGTTCAAAAAATTTAACTGCTCAAAAAAATTTACCTGCCCAATAGAATTGAACTAGAAAACTTCTAGTAAGAAAGTTCTTTATTATTAGACCCACTAACCAATACACCATTTACTATTTAGTTGACAAAAAGAAGGGCTTATATTATATATAACTTAATTTTTTCATCATTTTCTTTTAAAAAAAGAGTTAGTTAAGTCAAATTCTTTACCACTATTTTAATATTCATTACATTATGGTAAAGATTAAAAAAATTAAGTCATTGATAATCACTTTTATATTTTCGCATCTTTTTTAGAAAATTTTAAAAATGCCCCTAGGCAAAAATCGATTTGTTAAAATTCATTTTTTCATTAATTTTCAACTTTATTTGAGTGTGTTTTGTTTTAATCACATTCTTATATGCTTTTCATATTTTAGTAGATTTTTTTTGTATCCTTTTTATTTTTTTTCAACATTTTTTGATCATTCGGGACTTGCCTGGTTATAACGGTTGAATCGGCCGGTTTATCGGTTAGGCCAGTTAAATCGCTTTCGGGCCCATGTTCGGTTAACCGTTCTGGTTCGATTTTACGAACATTGATCTCTATTTAATCTTGAGATATTATTTTTTTAAGTGCATAGAGGATCAAATTAAAAAACTTTCTTATTAGGTTAATCCATGATTGGGGAGTTCACATCCCCAAAATTTAGAATCCTAGAATTAATATTAGATGGGGTTGCACTTGAAGAAGGAAAAAAAGAGTCCAATCCCATAAAAGTATTAATATAGTTTGGCTTTAAAAGAAACCACCCACCCTCTCATCCATTAGAGTGCGTTTGATAACTTTCTTTGCAGTTTCTCTAGGATTCTCCCCTGCTAGAAGAAAGTGAAATTAGTAGCCAAAAAGCTGGGAACCCTATTTGATAAAATGTAGTGCTGCTATTTTTGCATATCTGGTATTGGGCAATGTTCAAAAAGGCATAGGTGGCTGTCTAGGCGGTTTGGGCTCCGGACCGCCTAGGCAGGCGCCCAGACCCAAAGGAAGCCTCTTTTGTATTGTTTTTAAAAGTTGGATCCCCCACACCTGCCTCCATTTTATTGTATATATTATATAATAATAATTACGGATTAATATTATTTTTTTAGTTTACCAATAAACTAGTAATTATTATCACATGCAAAGAGCATTTCTGATAAACTAATAATTACGAATTAATACTACTTCGTTGTTTTGCCAGATCTCCCAGCAATAACTTGACACTCTCCACCTTTTTCTCAAAATGTTTGAGATGACAACAGGCCTTAGAGTGAATATGGCTAAGTCTAAGTTGATCGCTGTGGCTATGGACCCTTCCTTAGTGACCTCTATAGCATCCAGTTGGGTTGTTTCTAAGATGTTTTGCCTTCATCCTAGTCGGGACTGCCCCTTCTATTTAGGGAAACCGCACCTAAACCTTTGGAGCTACATCATAGATAAATTTGACTGTAGGCTAGCAGCGTAGAAAGAAGATCTTTATCCCTAGCTGGTGGTCTAACTTTGATCAAAGTCACTCTATCGAGCATCCCTATATTTTTGATGTCGTTATTCCATATGCCAGCCTCGGTGGCTTACCACTTGGCGTAGCTCATGAGGAATTTTTTTGTGGTCAAGCAATGGGGATAGGAAAATTCATCTCATTTCATGGGCTAACGTGTGCAAACCGAAGTCTCTTGGGGGGCTGGGCATACATAACCATAAAGCAACAACCTTGCCTTACTTGGAAAACGGTGGTGGCAGTTAGCCACCCATCTTGAGAAGTCCTCTTTCTGAAGTGGAATTTCAAGATTTCTCAACCCTTTCCAACACTCAAGACTCCTTATCTCTACCTCTTCAGGGACAGAACAGCCTCATTTGGACCCCCCAATCCCTAGGGAAACTTCTTGGTGGCCTACTTCTGCTCATCTCTGACTCACTCCCCAATCCCCAACCAATGCCCACCTCAATTGTGTCTAAAGCTTGGATTTCTATGGGAGCGACAGATTCCTCCTAATTTTCACTCATATTTGGAGGATAAAAAGCCTAAAAGGGCTTCCAAGAAGAATAAAAAGAGCAAGAAATAGTTTGGGTGTTTCTTTTTAGTTATTTGAGGCTATTTCAAATGTTTTTATTTAATTATTTCATTGCTTGAACAGTTAGGGACTTTTTAGATATTTTAATTAAAATTAGGGAGTTTAGTTTCAGGTTATATTTAAGTTATGACCTTTTGGTCAAAAGTTAAATTGTATGGACAAATATTCCAAAACAATAATTTTTCAATATCAATAAGTGCATGGATGGGCTGAAGAGTCATTCATGTATTCTTCTTTAAGAAAACAAATACTTTGTCTGGTAAAAAGAAACCTAAGGATTGAACCCTAGGTGGGAGTAAACCCTAGGGTTTCTCCAAAATTGTATGCTTCTTGCTGATTTTTCTTCGTTTCTTCAAGTTCTCCTACATCACATTTTCAAAAAACAAGTTGAAATGTTTCCCACCACTTTAAAACCTCAAATTTCCAATCCTCCATTATATCAAAATTATCTCATGAGCATGTTTGACTATTAGATTTCATCTCCCCCTCTCTTTTTATTCCTAGGCATTCCACATACTTCCTCCCATCCTATTTCACTTCAGCCCCTCACATTTGAGCACCTTCATATAAATATGTTGAATGTATTTTAAGCTCCACAATATGCTGCTTCCCTTTAATTGATTAAACTCCGACCCACGATCTTCTGCTATCGATAGTAGGCGTACACAAGGAGTGTAAACAATTGTCTGTGGTGAACCGGCCATATGAGCTCTTTTAAACTCGCTCAGCTAGGTGGCTTGCTCATTGCACTTTAGAAGCTATGCACACGTCAACGCACTGCACTCTAAAGGGCTTTGCTTTGCAGTGTCAAAGCAATTAAAATTAGAGGGTGGGTTTGTTAAGTCTTGTCAAAGCCCTCGTTCAAGAGTTTGCTTTTGCAAAGCACTCCCAAAGGACGGGAGCCATGCCCACTGAAAGCCATCGTTCCGCTCGTAAATAGCCTCACTGGAAGCCGGGTCTTAAATTGAGAGCAGAGTAGAAGTTCATCTTTATATTGTTGCCCAATCGATGGATAGTATAGAGGATGAGTTCAAGGTGTACGAAACAAAAAAAATTAAAAAATACAATGCCAAAGTACAACTCAATTACACAATTTACAGCACACCTTATGTGCATACAAATCACTCATTTCCTCACATAGAATCACTACAAATTACATGAAGTTGGTCCTAAGACAATTCACACTCTACTAAACACTTGGAGATTGAGTCTAATATCAAATTACATCATTATGACATAAAATTACAGCAACATAAACATAAGCTTTATGAGCAACTTAAATAATACAAATGTGAAATAACAAAACGCAAAACAATCAATCTCCTCTCATGAAAACATGAACCAAATGTGTGCACTTTAACTAATATCATGGAAGCCATTAAAAGGGTTCAACACATTGAGTTTACCACCGACTATTGCTTACACCCTTGTGTATGTCGACAACTAATAGTGCAAGAACGTGACTCTAAACTTAATCAATCAAAGGGAAGGAAAAACACTATGGAGCATAAACCCATACTCAATAAAACTCAGATTTACGATGCTCAAAATGAGGGGCTGAAACAGAGAAGAGTGAGAGTATCGATGTGGCACGCCTAGGCTTGAAGTAAGAGATGTGGTACAATGCTCAAGTATACCTATGGGAAAATTTCGGTATAATGAATGCTTGAAAATTTAAGGTTCCTAATGTGATAAAACCCACTTTAGCTTGATGGTACTCTAAAGAAATATCAGAAAATGTAGGATAGAAATTTCTCAATGAAACTTAGGTTAATTTATGCCAAAATAGAGTATAGTAACTAAAGCATGTGGGGAAACAAGGTAGGCATAAATGCATGAGCCAAACCAACTAGTTGAGTTCAAGACGAGCAAATTACCTTGCTCTTGAGATGAAGTTACAGCAAGAACATGAAACGTGGATGGAGTTGAAACTTCAATGCATGACTACCATGCATAAGCCTCAAGCAATGCTGTGTATCAATAGACTACTCAAAATGATCTCTCTCTTCTCTCTACGAAGGCTTTTGACCACAATGTAAAGAAAAGGAGGATGGTGTGCCACTCTTGGCTGGTCTCGCTCTTTTTAAAATTCCAAGTATGTTATAAAAAAGTGGGAGAAAAATAGTATATAGAGGCTAGTGTTTTGAAGGCTCCTTAGTGATTAAACATGGACCCTTGCTTAAGGGCATCCAAGGGGTAAGAATGGTCAAGATCTTGGCCATTCAACTCATCAATTAGCTATGATACAGAAGATTGAGCTTAAAGCAGCATTATCCCCTTAAAGAAACCCTAATTCAAATCAGAATTAAAATTTTACCCAAGGTTTAATTATGATCGCAAAACCCTTAAGTTGAAAGCATTACATCCACCATAAAATGATCAAACCAAGGGCCAAGATAGTTAAGCGGGGCATCCCACACTTTCGGCTCTCCTTTGATTTGAGCATGCATAAAGCAACTTTATACAAATGGCATGTCATTTGACAAGCCCCTTACAAATGTAATTGCATGTCTTCCCATCCAACTAAAACCTTTCATATGAGAAGTGATGTTTGCCATGTTTCGTCATTGGACAAGGGACAATAATTTAATGAATAAAATACAACCCTCTAGGCACCATCTATCTGCCACATCACACCCTACGAGTGACATTTGATTTTTCTTTTTAGAGAACAGCTAAGGAAGATATTGCGTCCAAGTCAAGGACATAACTAGCTATGATAATCCTCATAATGCCATTTAAAGACCAGCATATTTAAATCTCTTACTTACATAACCTATAACCAGCAATAGTTTACATAAAATATTTGCCATAACCCAGTACATGCATATTATACATGTATTGGGATGGCACCCTCTCAATACACTCCCATTCCATATTAATGAGTCCTAATCATAATGTTGCTTTTATCATTTACTTTCCTGTCTCTCTAAATATCTTGTTTCGTCCAAATCAAATAATCTAAAGAAAATTTTGACAATATAACATCCAAAGACTAAAATGGATGCATTTAACCTCAAATCATCTAATAGTGTATTTTATTCAACCAAATTTCCAAAATAACGTTCAAACTTCACACTGATCCTATTACAATTCCGATACAAATCTAGAACTTGAATGTCACTTGATATCTAGATTCAAGAGAGTTTAAATGGACCAGAATTGCTTCAAAGTTCAAACAATCTCTTGCACAATGAATAGAAGCTGGCAACCAATATCTAGCCTGCCATCATTTGCAATCATCGATCCAATAGCAATGAACACAGCAAAACTTTAAGATCATAGCTTAATTCACAATCATTTCTAGTGCACATCTGCATAGTTGTCACAGAGGACACCAGAATCCAAACAGCACACATAAACAAAGTCCTCAATTCATCCATATAATGCTGTCAGTAACATTACCGATATTTCATTTTCCTTATAATTAAAGGAGAACTATATCCAAGCACAAGAACCATAACGAAAGCAGAATGTAGCATAGCATATTAGCCAATGCTGATGAACTCAGAACCTCAAACACTTCGGCACTGGTTGCATTTATACCAATCTAGAGAAGCATGAATATGCATATCTCACAATAGACTTTCATTTCTTTTTCTAGTAATTTCTCAAATAATTACAACATTTCTTAATATTTGTAGTTAAAAGATCAAAATTTCCAAGGGAATATGTGTTTATAAGGGTAGGCCTGTAGAATTACAACCGTAAATAGTGTGGAAACATACAAGAAGGGAACGCCCCAAAATTGCAAGGTTCGGCCATCCATTCAGCTCTATAGCCAAATAATTCATCTTCTCCCTAGGAAAGAATAACATATTTTCATCATAATTTTCATTTTTTAGATGTTAGAAACTTTAGGAACCCAGCTAGAACCAGATTACTACCCCATGAAAAGAGAACAAAAAAGGAAAAAAATTACAAAAAATCCCGAATCCATCTAAATCAAAGAAACAACTATAAACAAATCGGTCAGATATCAAGCTACACATACATCAATCCAATTCATTAATCAACTAGTGAATGCAAAAACGTACAGGACTAAATATTAAAACTAACCAGAGAGATAGTGTTAAGGAAATCAATTTTAAGTAAAGAACAACAAACTGAAAGATGGGGGAGGCAGGAGGGAACCAAAAATCGTTTTTCAATTGATAAATCCTAAACCCCAAAACGCAAAGCCTTGGATCCTTATGCATAATAAAAAGGAAAAATGGAGGTGAGAAACAACCTTTGAGGCCACAACCGTGGCTGCCTTGACCACAAGGCCTCTGAAACTCCTGGAGACTCGGCTCAACGGCTTAATAGAAGAAACCCTAACAAGAGAGGGTCTCAGTCGGAAGGCCTCCGCTTGAAACAGAGGAACCGGCAAACTGAACAAAAGATATAAATCTCTGCACAGAAAACCCAGAACCAATAAGCAATCTGAAGATAAATATAGAGTTCCAAATCCTTTTAATAGAAAAATTGCTAGGTTAATAGAGCAACACTCAGCAAAAGCAACAAAGAAACACTGAAATTGTTAGTTTGAGAAGTAAAAGGAGAGAACTCACAGTTGCAGAAGGAAGCGAAAGAAACACAGGTGTTGTAGAGACAGAATGCAGAACTACGAATTTCAGGACTAAAATGAGAGCTCCACGGTAAACCTGTCTAGAGAGTGAGACCTAGTGAGCAGCTATTGCTGAGTACGTCATAGAACCATGACCAAAACAAATAGGGGCTTCTAGAATGTTACAAAGCATTTGGAAATGACTAATTACCCCAATTGCTTGTAATATGTTGGAACTTAGAAATGCACTTGATGTGGCTTGTACCAGCGGGCGGGATGGGGCCGACCGGTTCATTGGTCAGATGCAAGGCTTAAAAATACAATTTGGTGACCGAGATCGTTTCTGTGAAAAATCGGTTTGTATAGCCAATCGGCAGTCTAGAACAACAATCCGGCCTAATAAATTGGAAAACAAAAAAAAGGATGTCAAGTATTTGGAAATTTCTAAATGGATGGCGTTTTCTATGAGTCGACGTCGTCGTATGTACATATGTGGCCCCTGCTAAAATTTATTTTAGATATTTTTTAATTTTCTTTTTGTAGATTCATCATCTAGGCCAAGACGATCATAAATATAAAAAATAAATAACTGTTTAGAATTAAAAATATAATTTTTTAGTATTTTTTATGCACCGTCCTCATCTTATTATGGGCAATACACTTTAGATAACGTCTATGTTTTATTTTGTAACGTCCATGTTTTATTTTGTAAGTCAACGGGCATGTTATGAAACAATTTTCCTTTCTCAATTAGCCCAATAGTTTGTTATATGTAGTAAATGCACTTGGTGTGGCTCATCCGACTGTTTTTCTTTAAAAAAAGTTTCTTGTCCACATGATTGAACCACACCACATCTAAGGGTTCAAACCCTCGTACCTGATCCAATCCCAAAAACCTTGACCAACAAAGCCATCCTCCTTCCCACCCCTTCTAGGCATCTCTAAAATGCACCTCCAAAACAACCTTAAAAGCTAATCTATCAGGTTCCAATTCTATTAGGCAATCAAGTAAATAGAGCAATAGAAAACTAAATAAAATAGATAAGGGTGCAGTTTGTATAGAGCCTAGGCTCTAAACAATCAAATTAGAGCCTGCCTTCAAATAGTATCGAGAAATGTGGTTTCAATATTGAAAATTTTTGTGACAGCCTTAAAATATAGTTTTATATTTATTTATGAAATTTAAAGCTTCAAAAATAGTGTAAATCGACACATCTATAAAAACTTGAAAATCTTGAAAATTAACGATGCCTTACAAAATATACTATTTCTAAAACTTGCAGTCCAATCTTTTCCCTTGTCCATGCATCTTGATGTCAAGATGATCAATTTGAAGATATTTAGTCATCCAAAAAACTTCTTCTAGTGAAATTTTGGAGGTATGCTCAAATTTGATCGTTTAGAGCCTTGGCTTTATATAAACTTTTTCCAATAGATAAACATCGTTTCCTTCACAAATTTGGAAAAGATTCTATTAATGTGGAAGAGAAATCACAACCATGGGAGTAGATTAGCAAATAGCAAGGGGTAAACATATGACAATAAGTAAATAACTTCATATTGGCGTCTTAAAATTGGCTGGTTAGGATCGGGATTCGTTGATTTACACTAGGACTCATTCTCCTTGTTATGGACTCGCCCTATTATGTCGAGGAACCAGGTGAGTCTATTAGGGAATTGAGCAATTGAAATTGACCAAAATGTCTAGTTCCCACACGTTATATTTTTATTACTTGCTAATTGTATTTTTTTGGATCAACGTTTTAAAAGTTGGCAAATCGGGTCGGAACCAGCCGGTTCGAATCAAGAGTCATCGATGATGTTCTAATTCTACCTGCGTATCGAGAACTAGTGGTTCTCCCTTAAACCAAACAGTTCAAGCAGATTCTCTAATAGAAGCATGTTCTATCAATAGAAGCATGTTCTATCATAGAGAACCAGATGGTTACACTGTGAATCGGTTATAAAATTTAAACTTTTCTATTAAAGAGGGAGGTGGTGGCGAGGCCATCCCTCCTTTCAATTTATGTATTTATTATTCTTTACTTTTTTTTATTTTTAATTTTTGTTTGACAATTTTTTTATGAGTTGCACATGGGCCCACCATCATGAATGTCACAGTACAACAAGATATGCGCTTGACCACAAACTCCCTTGTTGCCCCACTAATCTCTCACCTTTTTATAGATGCTGCTCAACCCCTGTGGACTCTCTCTCTCTCTCTCTCTCTCTCTCTCTCTACTACTACTACTTACTTACTTACTTACTTACTTACTTACGTTACGTTACGTTACGTTACGTTACTTACTTACTTACCTTACCTTACCTTAACCTTAACCTTAACCTTAA